GTCGCATCAAAGGTGACCCGTCAGGTTCGCTTCCCTCGGCGCAGCCGTGCTGACGTGTTTACAGCCCGTTTGGGACCGTTTGAACCCGTGTAACTTTGCGATCTCACACCAGGTACGAAAGCAAACGCCTTCAAGAAGGAAAAAATAAAAACATCAGCCAAATGTCACGCCGCCCCTCGCAGCTCTGCGGCGTCTGATAAAAAGTCAGTGCCTTTAAGCAAAGGGTTGGCAGCGTTACCAACTGAGGCTCCGCAGGCCAGGAAAGGCCCCCCCTCGGAGGGGCTGGCATTTCAAAACAGGGGGGAACAAGCTATGAGCTTGAGCTCGCACAACAAATAAAGCAAACCGTGTTTGGTAACATGGTCATTTGAATTTAGGCAGCATGTTCATGAAGCAGCTGCAAGGCCCACTGCAAAAAGCATCTCGATCAGGGAAACTCAACTGGCTCAGTTGTAGCTGTTAACTTTCTTTCATCTTTTTTTTTTTAACTACTTCTACTTCATTTACAAAACACTTTAAAAACAACTATATATATATGTAAAATACAAAAACCAATAAAATAGAAGTAAAATACGTGTAAATCAGGTCGTCTTAAATGTCAAGGAATCTTCCAAAAATGCATTTTTAGAGGAGATTTTAATAAATAAATAAAAAGTTTATCTGGTCCCACAGGCTTCTCGAAGCCTTGGCGGTTGGTATAAAGGATTCAATGACACGCCGACTCCTTCAAACGCAAATTTGGGGCATTTAAGCCTCAAGTAATTAAGTACAGTGAAGCTTATTAGAGAAATTTACACTGTATATTTGTACACGCAACAGAAAGGTAAGAAGTATCGTAAGCAACAGATGTGAACGCCTGGAGAAAATGATCTGATATGCATTTTTATTTTTTAGTCCCACTTGTTTATTTGGACTTAAAACCTATATCTAAGCCAAGCTACAGGAGGTGCCCTTGCAGCTTCAGCTTCCCTGTTATGTTCCTGTGTCTAGCTATACACCAGTGGAATGATTCAAATGTGTCACCGTAATGAATCCAAAAACTTTATTTTTCTTTGAACCGATTAAATGAAAACAGACCGGGCTAAACTACAGACAGGTTAGGTTAGGTTTATTTGTCATATGTAAAATCAACACAAGATCAACAATGAAATGAAATGAAATGCTTAGGATGATGAGAACCGTCTCGACTCACCCAAAAAAAAAAAAAATAAATAAATAAAGCATGCAGCAAAAATACTAAAAGCATTCTAAAATACTTAAAAAAAGAAACATATTAAAAATACTACTAAAATACTAAAAAACATATTAAAAATACTACTAAAAAACATTTTAAATACTACTAAAATATTTAAAAAAAATATTAAAAATACTGCTAAAATACTAAACGTATTAAAAATCTACTAAAATACTAAAAAACATTAAAAATACTAATACAATATTAAAAAACATATTAAAAATACTAAAAAACACATTAAAAATACTACTAAAATACTAAAAATATATAAAAATACTACTAATATATATTTTTTTAAACATATAAAACATACTACTAAAATATATTTTTAAAACGTATAAAAAACTACTAAAATGCTAAAAAAAAAAACATTTAAAAAATCTACTAAAATATAAAAAAAACTTTAAAAATTCTACTAAAATATTTAAAAAACATATTAAAAATACTACAAAAATATATTTTAAAAAACATATACAAATACTACTAAAATATATTTTAAAAAACATAAAAAATACTAATAAAATACTAACAAAAATACTACTAAAATACTAAAAAACAAGGCGCCAAAGTTGAAAAAGAAATGCAACAGAAATAACTCCAGGGCAAGACATGCAAAGTGTTGATGAGAATCTGACCAAAAGGTGACTGAAAACCGCAGGGACCGTACTTACGGGGCAAGATGGTGACTAATGCGAGGCAGGTGGGCTGATGGGTAAAACCAGGTGAAAGGCAAGATAAGGAAGTAAACAAATATGAGCAAACTAAAATAGGGTACATTGTATAGAAACAAGCACGTAGAACTGAAGAATACCATGACGGAAACCATGAAAACTCAACAGTCCAAACACAACTGCACCTGCACGTTATGATGCAAGGCCAACAAGAAAGGTATTTAGTTCTCGGAGCGGGACACTGAGCTTTTAAAAGCTCACACAATACCCGGATGAGACCCCAAATCAACGGGGAACAAGGCGGAGTAAACCAAAGGAGTGTAACCATGTCTTCAGCTGATCAAAGAGAATATGAGGTTATTCACTAATAAATGGGACCAACGTGGAGCACAAAGACACAGCAGATGCATCAAGAACAAGGTGGTACATATATCAAGACTTTGTCACAGGAACCAAACCTGGCCTCTCTGTCCAGACTGCTATTCTAGAAACCTGGAAATGTTTCTGTCCAGGTTGAGTTCACCGGTGTCACCTCTCTTGCATGTGACGTTGTCGGCTCAGTTGTTGCCAGGCTACAAACACAGCAACAACGTACCTTCATGCCAATCCTTGGAGATTTCAACCTCACCTCTCCCTACATCCAACTTTCCATCATTCTGTCTTGTCTTTCACTGGTTTGGTTACAACATTTATGGATGTTTTTCTCCCCCGTTTGCCCCACAACAATATAATTCCCCTTCCGGGAATAATAAAGTATTGTTTAATTCACTTCAGACAACAATGCAGCCATCTGGATATGGAGAGTAGGAGAAATGAGACTGCTGAGCGTAAACGATGCACGCGATGCCTTTTGTTTTGCAGCTGATTACCAAGGTTACCAGGCGATACCCAACAGCTGGAGCTGTCGCAGCAGAAAAAAGCTCTATGATTCATAATTCATGCCTTTTGAGTTTTATATTTTAAGATTTCTGCCTCGCTCTGTGGGTATGCAAAGCTGTCGGTTGCTCTGTAGTGTCTGTTTTACGGTATACTTGTCTTCCCGGTATACGTTTTCTGCATTTGGTTAACGGTGTGTGCGCCGCTCACACAAGGGCACAAGATGAAGTCTAGGTCACCCGAGTGTCTAGTCAGACGTGCATGTGTGGACTTGCTCTCTGCCGGTCCCAGCGGCCTGTTATCATCATTTCTAATTGGATTCAAAGGGGACAAGGCATGTTTCCACTCCCAGAAGTATCTGTTCTTGTGCCACTTGAGCCAAGAAGCGAGCCAAAAGAAAATTAGATTTAGCTGCCTTTCTTGTCAGCATATTTAACGGTAATCACTGAGCCTTCCTGGCTTATTTAGCATTCCGGCAGCAGGTCAGGTCAGACCTGCCACCCCCACCCCCAACGCCCGGGGGGTCTGCCTGTTCATCCAGCATCAGCAGTCAGCACTGATGAGCCCCTGAGCCCCGCCGGTGAAACCAAGCCCATCAAGCTCAGTGCAATCACCTAAATCAGCCATCAGACTTGTCCGTCTGAAGGTCACCGCAGAGCGACGGCACGTCCAGGTCCTGCTGTCCGTCCGTTCACATCTCGGAGACGTCTGCTTTGTTTTTCTTCTGCTGACGTTTTGCAGGAGTTCTGCTTTCCTCCCAGGACGGTTGCTATGGAAAGGCGCATCCTGACGAAGAACTGTAGTGAATTTGTTCCATTAGTCGTTTATGTAAATGCAAAACGCATGACTCAGCCCATTAGGTTATCTGCTTCGTGTTTAACTGCTAATTATACCCAAATGGTTGACTGGATTACGTGGATGGCATCGTTATGCGATGACCCATGACCCAAAACAAAACATGTTTTAGTATTTTAGGAGTGTTATTATGATTATGTAACCAGGGCTTAATTTGTAACCTGATCGAGTGTCGGACCGCAAATAGTGGACAGATCAGCTGGGTGGAGGAGTGGTGGTCTGGAGGTCCTCCCCCAGCAAAATTTGAATAAAGTAGATCTGATTTCCTAAATTTTGGTGTATTTTAACTAGAGATGCACCGATCCGATACCAACATCGGTATCGGGACCGATATAAAAAAAAACAAACAAAAAAAAACTTCTGGATCGGGTATCGGTGACAATGTGACCGATCCATGACTGGGCAGATCTATTCACTCTAATTCTATGCTTTGTGCTTTGAGTGATGTCACGTGCTAGTGTACTGACTGAACAAATTAAAGTTATGTTGTTTTGACATGTTTGACCCAGCTTGTGAAGCTCTTGGTGTGTTTAAGTGTGCTGTTATGGTGCAGAGTTTTCAATAAATTTGTATTCAGTACATAAAACAAATGTTTTAATTCAGCACTGGGTTTGTAAGCTCAAACATCCAGGTAGGCAACAAAAATGGCTAAATTATGTCATCTGGACCTGTTTCAGAAACGGGTCCAGATGACATGATTTAGCCATTTTTTGTTAATCCAGCACTGTTTTTTTGTATCAGTTCGGTATCGTCCGATACTAAACAGCAGGTATTGGTATCAGATCGTTAGTGAAAGTGGATCGGTGCATCCCTAATTTTAACAGGTTGTTAAATATCTACATTTACCTTTTGTAAACACTCTGCTTCTGTCAAGCATCCTATCCCCTTTATTTGACGGTTCTGAGCCGACACTTCTCCGCCAAATTCACTGTCCGACTCCACATGTGAAACCTCCAGGCGCCTCCTCCGTCTGGGCTCCTGCCCGCATACGACCGCCTGGCTAGCTCGTTCGGCACTCACCTCCACCACTCTTGTAGGGGCGGAGATTTTTTAAGGGAAGAGGTGGAAGTGATGATTGAAGAGGCAGATTGTATGTGAAATTAAGAAGTCGTAAGTGGCTGTTGTGTTTAAAATGAGTGTTTATGCAATTATTTTCAGTTTACATATCCAAGATCAGTTTTATTCATTCAAGGCAGTCATATTTGTTCATAACTTTATTATTTATTTACTTTATTAGTAAGCCTGAGAGTTGGCAGATCCAAGCAAACCGTTACTGGAACGCACCCTGTCAAAACGAGAAAGTTCTCAGATCCTGTTCCGGCAGGATGTAACCTTTGCTTGAATTCCCTTTGTTCTGTTTTCAGGCTGAAGATGAAGAAGAGGAGGACCAGCCTCTGAGCCTGTCCTGGCCCGAATCCAACCGCAAGCGCTTCACCTATCTCTTCATCATGCCGGTCGTCCTGCCCTTGTGGCTAACGCTGCCAGATGTCAGGAAAACCGTATGTGACATCAAGTTCTCGAAACATCTGTTAAGAACAGCGTTCTAACTTCCACGACTAGTCGTTAATTTTTCACGTTCTTTCTTTTTCAGTCGTCAAAGAAGTTCTTCCCCATCACATTCCTGGGTGCCATCTGCTGGATTGCAGGATTCTCCTACTTGATGGTGTGGTGGGCTCACCAGGTACGCAGAACTTCTCATAGTTCTTATAGTTTGTATACTTCTTATAAAAAAAACAACCTTTGTCACATTCTTGGGATTTGCTGTAATCCATAATCCATCAACTCAGACTTAATTACAACCGTTTTATTCCAAAGAAGAAGACCGTCTGCAAATTTATTTTATTTGTTCTTGGTCATTTCAATAAACCCCAAAGAATTGCAAGAAAATTAAAAAGATTACGTTTGATATATCCTAAAGCATCCTTTTTTTTAATCTTTCTGCAGGTTGGCGAGACCATTGGGATTACAGAAGAGATTATGGGTCTGACTATATTAGCAGCTGGAACCTCCATCCCTGACCTCATCACCAGTGTCATAGTGGCACGCAAGGGGCTGGGTGATATGGCTGTTTCCAGCTCTGTGGGCTCCAACATCTTTGACATCACTGTTGGGTACGCCACCTGAACGAGGTTTAACTCTGGATTGAACATTTTCTTAACGGAGATATAAAGCAAATAGGAAATACACCCACTGATGTACATTAGATTGAGCCTCAAATGTTTAGTTCTAAAAACTGCTAATGATAAACGTTAAAAATTGGAGAAAAAATATTTTAATTTCAAACATGTACTCCAATAGAGTACGTCATAAATATGACCCATCCTGATGTGCAAAATAAGTGCAGAATTTTTGCCATAATTGAGAGTTGCATAAAAATGAGTCCACATACATATACATATATATATATATATATATATATATATATATATATATTTATAAGTCTAAACTACTTTAGTCATTTTCTAACTAGTATGTCTTCAGAAATAATTCCTTGGTTTTTAACCTTAATAATTTATGTTGAGATAAACCGTGTCTCTGCAAGTCGCAGAGGTACCTGGAAATCCCTTCTTATAACATTTTAAAGCTTGGGCATTCCCTTTTTTAAAGATCTGACTGAAATTCTTGATGTCATCACTCCAGACTGTCACATTTCTTCTGTTTAGAACTCATTTGCAATAAGGACCCAGAGAACTTGGGATTTAAAGTAAAATATAATTTTAATAAAAAGCAAAGGCTGATGTGGCGGCAAAACTTACGTTCGCTCAGGGGAGACACGGACGGAACACGGAACACGACGCCGCACAGGATGATGCCCAGGCAAAGAACACGGATGCAGAATTATATACACACACACTAATGAGGGGTAAACGCAGAACACCTGAGCAAACAGGTGGCCGAGGAGGAACTGATTACAAGAGGCAGACCAATTGTAGGGACAGACCACATGAGGGAGCCACACTAAGGAAAACAATCCACAGAAACGGACAAATCCTCACACCGACCAATGAGTTCAAGTTCAAGTAAACTTTATTGTCATTACCATCTCATGTGGTACATGAAATGGAATGAAATTATGTACACAGGGTCCCAGTTAAACCCCAAAATAGCAAAATGGAAAGTATAAAAATAATAGTAAATAAGGATCTAAGATACACACTAAGATAAACGCTAAACAAACGCCAAACGGTACGCTAAAAGATCTCAGATAAACGCCAAACACTAATAATGAAAAACAATACGGCGCAACAACAACAGCAGCCCGAACATGAGTCAGTGGTGAGCAGATGGTATGAATGAATACAGCAGCATAAGATAATCAGCAGCACAGATAAGTCACATATCACCAATTAAAGTGGCATTACAGTGATTTTTCTTTTTTTCTTAGACTCATGAATCCCTAACCAGGATAATCACTAACAGCTTCAGGGTAGAAGCTGTTCCTCAGTCTAGTTGTTCTGCACTTAATGCTCCTTAACCTCCTGCCTGAGGGGAGTGGGGCAAAAAGTGTGTGTGCTGGGTGAGTGGGGTCCTTCATGATGCAGGTGGCCCTCTTCCTGCATCTGGAGGTGTAGATGTCTGTGATGGTGGAGAGGCTGACTCCGCCGATCTTAAGTCTTGAACTATAAAAATTGTTTTAAAACGGCTCTCTTGTTAAAACTAGCTTGTCAGGTGAGGTGATATATTTGCCAAAAAAAATTAACTATGCCTCAGTTTAAATCTTTTGAGATGGAAAATTAAAAAAAATAAATGTCAATACTAAAACTATTTTTTGTTGCGAGTCATTTTGCTGGCACGGGTCACAAATTTTGTGGCCCAAGGCGAGGCCAGGCAGGTGTGATGTGGGTGGAAGTGGGTAATAAAATAACGTGCGCTGCTGAAATAAAGTTTTGCATAAAAATAAGTACAACTATTAAAAATTAGTTGTTTCCAACCGAAATTTTGTGTTTTTCTCACATTGAGTAGCCAACTACTCTCCCACAGTCACAGCCCAGTGAGACCTTAAATAATACATTAACCATAAGTACTTAAACAATAATGAAAAGGTTTCACACCTATCAGGAATGTCAACCATGTGACCAGAGTGGCCCCTCTGGGGGTGGGACTAACAAAGACCCTAACGATCCTCTAATGTGAAGAGTGAGAGGTCAATCTGCATGTGTCAATCTGCATTATGCAAGCTTACAGAACACCTCTGCTTTATAACTTGAATCCAACAAGTTTCAGTCAGGTCATCTGGACAGTTTCTTCTTTTTTTTTGTTGTTGCTGAAACGTAACTTGAATCCCACACTCCTTGTTGCTTTGAATTGAGAAAGCTCCTCGGATGAGAAGCGAAATGTATTCAGTTACAAATAAAGTCCAGTTGTTTTGTTTTTAACCTTTTTTGGACTTGAATAATACAGCTAGAAATTAATTTATTCACTATTAATCAGACAAAATAAGATTGTATATTGCACTCTTGTTCCTCTTTCTTTAGATTTGTATTGCCAAGTTTTATAGAAAACCACAAATTGTCTTATTATAAATTTTCCGTGAGCTTGAATTGCTGAAAACCAATACCATGTTTATGCGTTACGTTTGCGTCTTTGCAGACTACCTTTTCCCTGGCTCCTGTGGTCCCTCTTCAGGGGTTTGAAACCGGTGCAAGTCAGCTCCAACGGCCTCTTCTGTGCCATCGTGCTCCTCTTCATCATGCTCCTCTTCGTCATCATCTCCATCGCCGCATGCAAGTGGCGCATGAGCAAGCTGCTGGGCTTCATCATGTTCATGCTGTACTTCGTCTTCCTGGTGGTTAGCGTCATGCTGGAGGACAGAGTGATCACCTGTCCGGTGTCCATCTGAGGACCTGTCCGTCATCCCCACGACGTCCACCCTCGCCTGACCCTCGTGATCCTTTGCTTCACGAATAATAAAGAAAAGAAGAAAACTGGCGTTGACAGGAAACAAATCAACAAGACCAGCTTGGAAGGTTTTGTATCAACCTAAACTGATTGGATTGTCACCTTTTTTTTATTTCACTGGCAGGTGAGACTGGTAGAGGTGGTGGATTGATGGGTGTATGTCACAAATAGAAGTATTATGCATGCCATTAGTTTTACTGGAGGAGGTTAAATCGATCTGGTTTTTGTGAGAAATAAAAAGAACCAAGAGTTGCACATTGTATAAACTAACAAATGCAGTGACAGATCATGAATGGTGAGCTTTTTTGAGCCTAACAGACTGAAACACCGTCAGCAAGAAGGATAAATGGATGTAGATGATTTCTTTTTTTGTTCCAAATGGGTTTCCTCCATGGTGGTATCAAGACTATTTGCTTTGTGTCTGAGGCAGACTAACTGGGCATAAATCTTTTTATCTTCTTGATTTTGCTAATCCAAGTTTTCCCAGTTTCCTGCCAGTTTTTACTTTACACATCACGTTACTTTAGAGTCTTTTTTATTATTATTTTGGTATCCCTTTCTATGAGGTATTAGACGTAGCAGTAGAAATGAAATACGGTAACAGTATTAGTTAATGAACACACTGTACAGAACCTTCTATGCTTCACGTGTACTAATGGAGGGGGGAAAAAAAAGGCAAGTATAAAAGCCTAACTCGAAATATACAGTAGCCTTCAATATCTCGTACCAGTTGGGAAGAAATGCATGAGTACTTAGGCTCGTTAATATTCCATAACTAAGAATATTACGTAAAGAACTTTACAGTGTTTAAGCGTCTTGGTTGACTTAGACTAGTCGATGTGTAGTGCTGCGTTCACAAGTTGGCTCGAATCACTGTCTAGTTAGGCTGTTGGGACACAACTTACAAGGCATTAACTGCATGAAAAAAACACGATCCTCAACGGAGAATAATCACCTATTAATCAGTTATATACAAAAATGTAAACTTTTTAAAAACCCGTTTCATTACTTCCTAATGCAAGCCACCGCACAATCTCTATGTAAGAAACTGTCAACACGTACGGTCGATGATAGCTAGCAAACGATCGATTCTTCTTGAACCCAAGGTGCTTTTTGTGTGCATGTGCAATCTGCATTTGGAGACACAATGACCATTTTTTTAAATTTATCCATAATTAGAGGCAAACATGTGTACGCACAGTGGTTTATGTATAATTGAATGCTCTTTTACCCCTTCCTCTGACTTGCAAAACTCCTGCTCCAACATGTTGAGTGGAGTTGGGGTTCCCCAATGTCACCATCTGGCCCTTTAAATGGAGATATTTCAGTAGGACACGAAAAGAAAGGCAAATATACTTACTAATGTTATTAATTTCTATGGTTTAAAAAAGAAAAAAAGTTTTTTATTGGCACAAAACCCACTGTAAAATCTAATTTGATACCAGTGCTTTTTGTTTGGCATCAAGCTTTAATTATCCTATACATAATCTCACATTTCGGTTAAAATAGTTTGTCACAACTGTTTCAGTTTATTCGGGCATATTTTGGTGTCTTTGTATCATGATCAATCTTCCCTAAGAAGAATAAAATGTAAGATTGTCTGTTAAAGGCATGATAATTAGATTTACACTAAATATAGACATATTGATGTTGCAACGTAAAAAGAAGTGACAACCACTGACGGCGTATCAGCTTCTAGAAGAGGCGTCCCGTGTTTGGAATATTTTAAACGCTACTGTTTATGACTTCAAATTAAGGGCGATGGGGTAGGGTTGGGCATGTGGTTTGGCCAAAGTCTCTCCTTAAGAAACAGATTGAGTTACTCACTCACTTAATAGCAATATACCATGTGTGGTCCTTGAGAATCCCATTCTTGTGTCTCTGTCTCTGGTTTTCCTTTTTGTTCAGTCAAAAACTTCAGGATGTGAAACTGGCCACCGGTTCTCCTAAAACAGAGCCTTTTTCTGTTTGAGCTGGCCAGAAGCACCTGCTTTACCTCGACACACAGCCTCTGTACAGCAGCGTTGTAGGAGTTACCTGTAAAATATTAGTAAATAAATTCTCTGAATGTGTGAGGAAACTTTGCATGCAAGGAACTTGGGCTGGTTACCCACGAACTGTACAGCAGAGCTTAGACCAACTGTATAATGTACGTTGACTTTTATGCACCCGTTCACAGAGACACACTAAAACCATTGGCTTTACTTTTGTAAATATATAAACTCTGGGTTTTTTTTTAGAAACAACCAAATGTTTCACATCTATACTTAACTTTTCTTATTTTTTAAATTGTGTCTCAAAAAAGGACACTTATGCTGGTTACCCTTTAGTAGTGTAGCATTTTACACCTGATTAGCATCGATCAACTGCATGTTCAGTTTCTATAATTTAAATGAGGGCTTGAAAACAACAGTTCGGATCATTAAAGTGGGGTTCTGTGAAACGTTTAGAAACAATAATTAATTGTCTTATTGGTTGTAGATAACTCTTTGAAACACGTCAATATGGAGAAACAGAGTTGGCTTCTGACCTAACCGATAACCACAGGCGTTGCGTCAATTATATGTGATGGGGACGTGTCCCCCTCACATTTAAAAAATGTTTATTTGGACCACCCGCACACACACGCACACGTTTATCATGAAATATTAGTTCCCCCAGCGCTGTTTTTATTTCTTCGTGAATGAATTCATTCCACTTGATTAATATGAAAATACTCAAACTAGTAAAAGTCCACTCCAAGTTTTTCTGGTTACCTACAACAACTCACCACACCGCATGCAGTGGCTCGGCAGGGCGCTCATCTCTTCGGGGTTTTTGTCGACAGGGTTGGGGGAGGAGGGGGGGACACCTCTGTGTTGCGTGCTACGTTAGTGCTGGCAGTTGCTGACCAGGGTGAGAGTGGGGTTAGGATGCATGAGAGAAGCGGAGTGCGCTCTGTTCACACAAGAAGAGCTGTTGGTCAGGTTACTTGTTGTGCCATGCTCTCTAAAATAGTTAACGTAGACGATTAACAACTTGTTGAAATAGACCAAAATGCAGGAAATGGCATCTAGTTTATTCAAAATTTTCTCAGAGAGGACCCCCCCCCATCAGTGTCCCCCCATATAACAAATGCATCTGACACGAATGTGTTAAGCTAATGGCTAACGGTGGAACTAAGACCAAAGTGGCTTGCCGCGGTCTTAAAACAATGCCGGAGTCAAATGGTTCATAGCGGCTCATGTTAAATCTTTATTCTAGAAACCTTTACGCTACTGTCATATACACGGTTTTAATGTTTTTATTTTAAAAAATCCTCTGCTGTTTTTGCTAGTGCAAATAGTAGCTGCTATAGGTAGTTGTAGCGCTTCTAGTGCAGCTCGAGGCGCTTCCAGCAGGACTTCATTAACATTTCTGCCAGAATAACCGAATAATGTGAATCTTTTGGTGATATAAAGGTTTATTAGTGTTCACATAAACCAGTAGGAAATTATTGAGACTGGAGTAGACAACAGCAGTCGCCTTTGGTCTTAGTCTCTATCGAATTAACCGTTAGCTTGTCAATCCGGTCAAAATTTTACTCGTTTTCCAAACAGAGATCTTTCAAAGAGCTATCAACAACAGATTAAGCTTTAATTGTTCAACACATTTCTACAGAACTGCACTTCAAAACATCTGAACTATCCCCTTTAAATACCACATTGCCTCCTTTAATTCCACCAAGTTATAGTGCTGCCGATGTTTTCCGGTATTTCATGACAGGAGGAAAAACAACTGCATCCTTTATACCTGTTCTGAGTAGTGTGTTATGTTTTTACATTTTCACCATCCAGATCAGACGCTTTATTGTCTTGGCAATGACTCATGATGTGCTTTGTGAAAAATCTTCCTGTGCACATTTTGGCCATTAAGCCTTTCCCGCAGAGAACACGTACACTCCGGTTAATGCGATCTCGCCTCAGCTCTAGTTTCTTCTCACCCCATCTTCAAAGGAATATAAATGACATGTTCTTGCTAAGACTGGATGATGAGGTGAATACTATTTTTATGCCCGTGCAGAATATGGCCGACTAGACAGGATTATTTATTAGAAAAAAGAAAAAGAAAAAAGAAGAGAATGTTGTCTAATGTGCTCGTTGCATCATGTTTGTTAAATCTGCACTAAATCGAACACGTAAAACGTGTAAATCTCCTCATTTTACAATTGGAGAATTATTTACCAAATTATCTCGCTGATAAAATAAGACTTTTGAATGTAACGACAGGTAAGAATCCCCCGATCCCATTCCCAATTAAATGTCTAAAGCTCCTCTCCGCACTTCACTTTTTTGTGTGTGACCATAAATTTAGAGGAAAAACAAAAAAGATCCGTTTGGTTTAGCACATGCGCTTTGGCACTGATTGTGGTTTTACAAAGTGAAACCACTGGTCAGAATTCTTGCACTGTAAATGTTTTATTTTCTTGGTGGTAATCTAAGATTTATTTAAGATGTACATACAATGTAAACAGATACAAATTATCCATATAATCTATATGTGTAAAAGAAATGTCTATGTAAAAACACAAAGTATATAATAACAATAATGACAACAAATAAAGACACTAATTCATATATGCAAAAGTGTGTTTGTTTGTCCCGTTTGTTCCTTGCATTACTTTAGCACAAACACTAGCAGTGATTCTTCAGGTTTTACGTAAAGGAAAAATGTGAAAATTAGAATTTCTTGGTTGTAAATAACATTTTTGTCATAAATACATTGGGATATTAGGGCAACTCTTGGTAAGAAGAACCTAAAATATATTTTAAAAAATGTATTAAATAAAACAAAATGGCTGTCATGCCGGCAAAACCCATTTATTTAAAAAATTAAAAAAAAACGATAATCTCGAGGAACGGGGAGGATCGAGCGTGAAAGCCAATAAACCGAGCATCGGAGTATGTGTCGCGAATGAGTCTCAGCTACTACCACATCAGACAGATGTACACATCAGCAGAAACTCTGTAAAACTGACTGAATTGCAGTATCGCCATTATTGTGTTTTATAAAGTCAGCCATTTTGAATTGGGTCGTCAGTTTTAGATCTTGTACTTCCTGACAGTTTCTTTAAATCCCGTCAAATGGTTCACAAGATGTTTCGATAACAGAGTTAAATCCTACGAGTTAATGTGAAAATAAGAAAAAATAATCTGACAATCGGAGTTACAACCGCACTGCATTCAAAGTCATTGTGTGGAAAACTGACAAAGTTATAGCACACTTTGTGATTTTTAAATTCAGTTGACTGTGATGGCCATCTTGAAACAGACTGACTCCAAACATTAAACAGTTGCAGATGTTTATCCAGTAACTCAAGGTTAATTAAAATCTGCACACTGGTTCACAAGATATTTTCCTAACAGAAGCCTGCAAATTCTCAGTAATTTAGATTTATATACGT